CAGTCCCATGCAGTGTACTTGGTGTTATTTTCCATGATAATTGGTAAAGTGGGAGCATTCAGAAAAGAGAAACGTGCTGCCGTGAACAGCTGGAATGCCAGTTGCACTGCATTTCTCGGGCTTGGGAATCTCGGTTGGCTTCCTTGAAGAATAACAAATATTGATGTTTGACTAAATAGTCAGCAGCCAAAAGAGAGATCTGCCTTCATAAGGTTAAATACTTAGGCATCCAAAACTGAATGAACCACACCCAAAGCTAGTCATAGTACAATGTATTCTGTGAACTCTCAAAGCTCAGGATTTCAGATAAATCCCTCCCCTGTTCCATTATGTCAGATCAGCTTCACACAATTGAGCAAATAAGCATTCAGACTTCAGAGTTTCGTAGATGTTAGGGTCGGAAGGGACCCATTAGATCATGGAGTCCGACCTCCTGCCCTGGGCAGGAAAGTGTGCTGGGGTCTGATGACCCCAGCCAGGTGTCTGTCCAGTTTCCTCTTAAATACCTCCAAAGAAGGGGACAGCACCACCTCCCTTGGAAGCATATTCCATATTTTGGCAACCCTCACTGTAAAGAATTTTTTTCTGATGTCCAGTCTGAATTTGCTCTTTCAGTTTGTAGCCATTATTTCTAGTTACCGTGACGGGCACCTTGGTAAACATTGTATCCCCTATTTCTTGCTGACCCACCCAGTGAGTTTGTAGGCAGCCACTAGATCACCTCTCAGCCTCCTCTTGCGGCTACTTGTCAAGGGTAGACTTGCCAATGATCTTTGCTTCTTGTAATGCCTGGCCTATGTTGATTTATTGATTGGATTTGATTTCTTTGCTGCCCTCCCCCAAAATGCTTAGGGCAGCTTGCATTAAAAGGCCACTAAAGCAATAGCAAGCTGTGGTGGGACAGCACTGTGAATTTTAGATGGAGCTTCCCACTTAGAAGTCTAGCTGCAATACTGGAAAGAACAGAGCAATGTAGTAACTTTTCTTGCATTACTAAAAAGTTACTAAGGAAACCAGAGCTTTTAATGTTGTGACCATCATTGGTCCATAGAAAGTCAGGTTGAACATGTGATCTGGGCTTCCTCTCTGATTCCAGATGCTGGTGTTCAAGTTCTCCCCTTTAAAGAAAGCAAGAAGTTCTCTCAAGGCATCTGGATGTTGGCAGGTGGTATCTTAGTTGCTGCTTATTGGGAGCAGCGCTGTGTAAGGAGGGGGAGCAGAAGAAAATAGAAGCATCCTTTGGTCTGGACTCATGAGTAAGATGAATGTGTCGGCCACCAGCAGGAGAGGACTGTCAAAGGAAGAAGGGAATGAGGCACCCAGGTCCTGTGCTAGGAGAGGAAGATGAGGCAGGCATCCTGTCCACAGCAGAAAGCAACCAAATGACAGAGAAGCATGTGTCCAGGAGAGGACGAGGTAGAAAAGAGGCTCGGGCAGGTGAGAAACATGCTTTAGAGGCAGCTGAACTCCCTCAGGACTTTATGAACACCAGCTTCCCATATATGTGTTGCTGAAGTTGCCAGTGGGATGAATGCATGGAAGGGAAGGTGTCTATAAATATAATTTTGAAGATGGGGATTTTCAAACCTTTTCCTGAACTAAATGACATGGAGTATGGAATGGAAAATGCAGAGTGTCTCTTAGGATGAAGAACTGAACTCTTACACTTTCCAGCTAAAAAAATTCAGTGATCTGTTGATCTTTCCCTCAGTTGAGCTCTTCGAGTGGCAGAACAGCGTCCAACTGAGGTTTGGGGTAAGAGGGATATGAGGGCCCAGCAGACATCAGGGAAAAGGTGCAGTACCCATAGTTTGCCAGAACACTGCAAAGATTAACCTTTTTTCTTCATTTAACTCACTACCTTTTAGTTGTCTCTGTGTTCTGACAATTGTTGGCACTATTACACAGTCAGATGGGTTGTCAATTGGCTGGAGGACCGCACCCAGAGAGTGGTGGTGGATGGGTCATTTCCCACCTGGAGGGATGTGGGCAATGGGCTCCCCCAGGGCTCGGTCCTCGGGCCCGCACTGTTCAACATCTTCATCAGCAACTTGGACGAGGGGGTGAGAAGCACCTCATTCAAATTCGCAGATGACACTAAGATGTGGGGAGAAGTGGGTACGCTAGAAGGGAGGGACAGGCTGCAAAATGACTGAGAATTACTTGGAAGACAGTCGTCATATGATTTCAGCCCTTAAGTACATGATTGTGTCTCTATTCAGCTTCACCTGTCAGGTGTAGAAAAACACACTCAGAGTGTAGTCTATGAACAACCTAGGTAGGCAAACAATAGTTTCATAGTTGGTAGGGTTGGAAGGGACCTGAGCAGATCATCAAGTCCCCAGATTACAGGGGTGGGTGGATGAGAATAAGATGAGACTCAATACAAGTCAGTCGCATCATATGCACATTTAACTTGCACGAATTCAACTATACGCGGGATGGGAGGGGGGGCAGGGCTTGAGTTTGCACGTGGCGCTGCCGCTTACCTGGAGGCCCATTATGGCAGTGACAGCCACTGCCTCCAAAACCTCCCGCTGTCGCCATGGAGCCGGT